ACAAGAGTGTCCCGCAACAGTGTCCCACAAGAGTGTCCTACAAGAGTGTCCCACAAGAGCTTCCTACAAGAGTGTCCCACAAGAGTGCCCCACAAGAGTGTCCCACAAGAGTGTCCTAGAGGAGTATCCCACAAGAGTGTCCTACAAGAGTGTCCCACAAGAGTTTCCTACTAGAGTGTCCCACAAGAGTGTCCCACAAGAGTGTCCCGTAAGAGTGTCCCCCAAGAGTTTCCTACAAGAGTGACCCACAAGAGTGTCCCACAAGAGTGTCCTACAAGAGTGTCATTTGGACATATGTAGCTTTTCGATCGTGTTTGCATTCGGGTTCGTGGGCTCCATCTTGTTTTTTCTTTGTTTCTACTAGCGATGGCCTCCAACCAAATAGCGGTGGCCTCCACCCTAGAAGCGATGGCCTCCAACTAGTGCATTTGAGGACCCAAGCAATCCTCATGGGAGATCACTTGATGAATAGACAACGTTCAGTTGGAATTGCAGAAGCTGCGAAAAGCACAAGCTGTGAGTTTTGTTGGCATGTATATATATATATATATCTACCAGGATTTGTTCGAGGAAAGCTGGATAACAAAATCCTTGTCGAATTTGAAAGAGATTTGTTGCCTTTCCCTCCGCCGAGGCAACGCTTTCCTTATGCTCGTGAATTGCGACCAGGACATGTCTTGAGCTGGTTCTCTGCAAATACGAATACGTGCATGTGAATCGACAGGAAAGAGCCATCAAATACGTGCTCAGCTTGCAAGAGCAGGCCAGGCCAAGAGAGTCAAATGATTTCATGACTCCGGTGACTGCACATACGTGCACAGGTTAGTTCCATGGGGGACATTTTCCAGCTGGCGGTATTGGAACTGGTGCGAAAGGCGGCTTGGAAAGGGACAGAAATTCATTGTGGACCACCAACGATTTCTGACCTAAAACAGGAAAACAGAACTGCAATTGAAACAAGTTTGGCACTTTCTGCAAGCTCTTTTCTATCACAGTCTGGTGAAGTGCGGGAGTTTAACCTGGCTGACCGACCTCTGTTGATGTGGCTGACCTACACTGTGGGTTTCTCTCGGCTTTCTCAGCCTCAGGTGTGCCGCTCAACCTCGGTCAACAAGGGCCGGTTTCTTCGCATTGCTCCTTGGCAGTGCAGAAGTTCTTCAGCTAAACAGCAAGGGAGACCCCTTGATCTTGGCATTCGATGACCATCTAAGTGTGATATTTTCTCCACAGACACGGTCCTGCGCCCTTTTCGACGGTGGACCCGCAAAGCTAGCATCTCAACAGTTTGTCATTTTTTTGCCCAGAATCGTTTCTAGGACGGGAAATCAGGTCTTTCTTAAACATAAGGAGAAACATCTTTTCCGTGTGCTGTATTGCGCACATGAACTGACAATTGCGCCCTAAATTAGATGATTCTCAGGTTTTCGACTTAGCTGCCTCCTCATCCACTGCGGTGTCGGAGCCTTGGGTGACTGTCTGCGAAGATGATGGATGCATAGAAGAGGAAATTCGGGTGACTTACAGGTTGACTCGCCTGAACCTCCCCACCCCCAAAGAAACTGGTTGATTCACGCACAAATGGCCCAGGTGCCATGTACTGGGTTCAGATCATTGAATTGCAATGATGGGTCATGGGTCTTCGATTTTCCCACGAAGGAGATGCCAAACTGGTTAAGATGGACATGGAATTTTGTGCGTGGCCATCACTTGTGCTTCCTCTCCAAGCCCTTTTGTTCTGTGCTTACGCAGCCGACCTCGCAGGTCTTATGAGTGCGCCTCCAGTTTAGTGACGCTCTCTTCTTCACCAGTGGCCATTCATCAAGCTGCTCAGGCAAGGGCAGCGTCATGTTTTCAGTTCACAAGCGTTTGAAATGAACAGGTGACAATTCTGCTCCTTATGACGCGGGTTCCTTTTCCTTGAAAGAAAGGATGATCGGTTCGGTACCAGATCAGCTTTGACGTCATTAGGCATGCAGTATGCTCAACATGTATCCACTACATCGATGTTGGGGCTAAACGAACAACTAGGATGTCGTGACTTTGTTGCTACGAGGCCTTTTTGTTGGGCTCACAAGAACTGACTGAACCTTCAAGACACTGCTTGAGGGATCTTTCATGATTGCGACTTCCAAGGTCTATATCAAGCAATCCCAGGTTTAGTTTTGACACAGACCTACAAACACCGACATGAACACCTTACGGCCTGGTGGGGTTTGGGCTACGCGCTGAGGCCTATGTGCAGCTCTTGACCGAGCAGTCCGACAACAATGTGAAGTTCCCTGACTACAGCACGAGTTGTGCGACAAGCTGGAAAAAGAAAGCTTCAATTTTAACGAAAAAACATCTCAGACGGAGATCACGTCCTTTAGGGGAAAGGATAATAATGTCACTGTACATATAAAGACACAGATTCCGTACCATCCAAATTCTTCTTCTCCGATTCCGTTCCTTTCCTCTAGTGATACAAACGGAAATGTAAAGGCCGGTTGTTGGGTGAAGATTAAAATTTCACCCTGCTGGCTCCTCCGGTGGCCATCGCCACGCGGCCCCACGACCTGCTGAGGCTCATCGTTTTGGACCGCTTGCGGGACGTGCAGAAACACCACAAGCAGGTGTTTCAGCCGTGGGGAGCCGGAGCGGGGAAGAAGAATGCTCCTAGTAGCGATGCCAGGAGCCCCTAGGAATGTTTGGGGCAAGAGACATTTTGTGGCAAGACATTTGGGGTGTCCACTGGAATGAAGCATTACAGTACTGTCTTGGTCACTCCACAAGCTGCATCAACTTATCTGCGCGACTTCTCGCCGGTCTGACTTCGTGACTAACCCGCTGAAAGCTGGCGCAGGTTATGGAGGGGATGGTGATGGACATCTTTCGGGCGCTTAGCTGTCCTTCTCTGGATGTGCGGAAGAAGGTTTCATGCCCCAGAGTGACAACTCAGTTCGGGTGGTTGAGAGAGCCGTGTGTTTTGTGTTGGAGCATTACGTGGCATGTGCTGCTTTTGGAGTTTGGAGATGGAGAAGGAGGTTAAGAGTCTGAAGCTATAAGATGGTATGACTATTTCCGTGTGTGATCCCTGATCTTGCTTTGGAGCAGTTGCTCAAAAGGCTGAAGCACACTGAAGCAATCACTCAAATCTCCAAACTGCGATAGCAAGAACCACTCTTCCGTTCCTCCCCCTCTTCAAAAGTATGGTCATCCCCCAGAAAAGGAGATGAGAACATCTTTGTCTTTGTAGGGTCATGGCAAAGATCCAGAACATGTCCTAGGCGGCTCCTGTTGCAAACCTTCACCCAACCCTGCAGACCTCATTTTGCTGGAGTTGGTCATAGATATACTGTATAAACAATACTCAATGAGGTGAGGAACGGTTGGTTCCTGCAGGGAGAGGTCTCCCCACCGTGGTCTCCCCACCGTTCCTTCCCTCGCCATGGCCGTCACGATCTCGGCGCCTGGGCGACATCTGTCCTTGCCCAAAGCGGTGGCGAGCTTGGGAGTAGAGGCTTGGAACCAGCAGGCAGGAAGAGCGTCACGTGAGCACAATGGGCCGGGGGGGCCGGGCTTGGCACCAAGAGCCACAAAAGATCTTGTGGCAGTAGAATCTTCGATCGCAGGCACCAGGCTCAGTTCAAGGCGGAACCCAATGGTGTGTTTTCTGGTAATTAGATGTGTTTGTGACGTGTCTTTGGAAACCATCCGACAACTGTGCCGATACAAGTTCACTTTCTGTAAAAAGGTTTCGTGTCGAGGGTGTTCGGATAGGCTCAGCTGACGCAAATGCTCAAGACGCTGGATGGGTCTTGCAAGGCGCATTTTTTCGAGTGTGGCGTTCATCAAGGGTCCAGGAAAAATGTGCTCGAAATGATCATGGCCCATGAATCATGGCCGGTCAGCAGGGCTTGTTGGTCACATGCGATCCTGGTGTTTTCCAGCTGGAGGGAGCCTTAGCAAGCTGCTTTAAATAGAAAAGCAAATCAAATGCGTTGTGCGGGATGGCTGCGACACTTCGAGGCTCGAACAGTCAGTGAAGTTATGCAAGAAGTGCGTGGCTTCTTCACCTTGGGCCATCTTCTGTATGCATATGCCTATTTGCGCATGCTCCACTACAAGGAGGGTTTGCTCTCAACTACTGTTTTGTCCAGCTGTTGGGAATGAAGTCTCTAACGACTTTAATGATCTGTCAAGCTTCCCTAAAAATCTAGGAACGAAATCATTAGTGCGAGCGCTTCTTCAAGAAAGCTCTCCCCCGCCCTCAGGCCGGGGAAGCTTCCTTGAAGAAGCGTGAGCTATCCAGCTAACTTATTGTAGCCTAGTAGCTTACCTCCTTATATAATTACTTAGATTTAGTTAAGTAGGCGCCTACTTAATTAAGTAGAAGCAGGCTACAGAAACGAAAGCTCAAGCGTTTTTGGATGCGGGAGGACCCCAACCTCTACTATGCGTCGCTGTGGTCAGACCCAGCCTTTCTCCTGCCGATTGTTTACACACCCACCGTTGGTGAAGCCTGCCAGAAGCTTCATGGATGCGGTCCGATATGTAGATATGTATATATATATATATACCAATAAGTAAAGACTCCCAGCTTGAAAGTTTAGATGTCCTTGTACAAGCTTTGAACACCACTGAGTTTCAATGGTTTATTTTGTTTTGACAGTAAGTTTTATGATGGCAAATTGTCCGGGTGGAGAGAAGAACTTGGAGAGCTTGTGAACGAGAGCTGAGGTTTGGCATGTTGCCATTTTTCCCACGAGGGTGCTATGTCTCCATCTCAGACTGTGGAAAGATCAAGCAAGTGCTTCAAGAATATGCAGAATGCATGCTTCCCAAGGACTTCTTGTGATAGTTTGTTTGGTCCGTGGGTGGTGCTTTACTGGCTCTCTTGTGCTTGGTGGCGGGTTTCTTTTAGTCTTTGCTAAGAAGATGGCTGTAGTGATTTTCAGGTCAGGTGTCCTCTACGTCGAATGATTAGAGGAAGGGATTTTTTTGATTGGCTGCCGGACGTTGTCTCTGACGAAGTGAGGGAAACTGCGGCCGTTCTTGTCGTTCTCAGTTGTCGAATCTGTTCGGTTGGGTTCTCGCCCCGGCTTTCTTCAGGACTCAGAGGGGCGCTACGAATGCCAGTGCATCGTGTTCTCTGATGCGGGACGAATCTTGGGTCTTGGAGATCTGGGCTGCTGGGGGATGGGAATCCCCATTGGCAAGCTGGACCTCTACACAGCTCCGCGGCTTCGTTGACGCGAAGAGAAACCACACCGCCAAGTGCTGGTAGCAAGGTCTAGAGACAGGAAGGACTGCGTTGGCTGAAGGAAGTGGATTCGGGTCATGACTCACGATCAAAGTTTTGATTCCGCGCTATTCTGGGTTTGAAATGACATTCAAGATTTGGCAATGGGACACCCCCTTCTACCAGGGTGAAATGGACTCCGGGTTTTGACCCACAGCCCCACAGCCATATCCATACCCCTTCTTTTGCCTGTCGATCTGAGTCTGCCCTTTCGTCCTGTGCCGTCCTGAGCAGTCCGATGATCACACCCTATAATCCCATGAGAGATGATCTATCTATCTCTATATCTATCTATCTATCCATCCATTCATCCATCCATTCATTCATTAATTGATCGATCGATCGATCGATCGATCTGTGTCTGTCTGTCTGTCTGTCTGTCTGTCTGTCTGTCTATCAGCCTTTCGGTGCAAGCGGCTATCCCTGGCCACGTTTTCCGTGATGTGATCGCCATGAAGCCACCCGGCAGCTGGATCTTTGGGGGTCCGGGCCCCCCGTGGATGTTGTGCATCCTCCTGCTGACCTTGACATTGCCACAAGCTGCTTGTTCACCGCCCGGTCCCAATTCTGGGTCCCTTGTTGGTATGGTTTTTGAAAATAGGAGTGGGAAAGAGCAGGGTTACCAAACGGCCTAGCGTTTGCCTGAAAGGGGTAGGGATACCCTTAGGGGAAGTGAAGCACCCCCTGAACAACTGGGCGAAGGGCAAAATGGATCCCACGCGATCAGTGTCGCAAAGAAGAGAAGCTTCAAAAGGGCTCATCAGAGGTGCCAGGCTCTGGATGGCGTGGAGCTACATCGAGGCAAGACGCTTTTTGGCCTGCCTGCTGTGTTGAGCTCAGCCACATCCAGATCTCGTATGTCCATTGTGAACATGAGCTTGACTTCTCCTGGATTCATCGAAGTTCTTCAATGGGCTCAGCTCCAATGCATTGATGCACTGCTTCTTCCTAGCTTACAAGTGGCTGCCCTCGAGCAAGCAGATGTAGATGATCAGTCACCTCTTCTGCGCAGAGTCGAGGGAATCTTGCAAGCTGAGGAAGGTCCTGACATTGCTTCTTTGGAATCAGAGGAGCAGGCTCTATGTGATGAAGTGGTGCTGATGCAACGTCCTGCGGGTGCAAGAGGAGCTGGATATGATGTTTCGGATCTGGCCGGGAGCTCGACAAGCAGAGGACGGTCCGCTGCTGTGTCGGGCTTCAGTGGTGAGACTCGGAACACTGATTTTGACTGGGTCACAACTTGGAGGCAGGTTCGACAATATCTCTGCGCATATGACCAAGCAGGTGCACCTGGCCACACACAGATACTTGTAGATTTGCTGGCTCTGAGAAGAGGAGCAACTGTCACAAGCGGAGTTTATTGCCCTAGTTGGGCGCTGGACGACCAAGCTGCGATCTATCACATCTATGACTGGTGTGAGGAATATGCCTTCCAATTTGACCATGCATTCACCAGAGCCTTTCCAGTTCAGACTGAACTATACCAGAATATGCCGGCCATCGTGGTTCTACAGCATTTGGAAAATTCAGTCTTGCCTCTGGTTGTGCAAGTTGTCATTGAGGTGCATCAGGTCCATGTAGTGATGCGAGCGCAGCAATACGAATATGTGTCTCAAGTCACCGACTGGGTTCATACACAGACTCAAGTCAGGTTGCCTTTCGAGATCTACTACCAAGCCACCCGAGTGGACTATTGGCAGCAGATTGAAGTCCGTGCAGGTGCGGTTCTGCAGGTACGAAGTCGTACACAGCGCGAGCTGGAGAATCCGGTGCAATCCACAGGTAAAACTGGCCCCTCGCTGGATCAGTACAGCCACACAACCTGGTCATCGTTGCCATCGGAGCCGCAGCCAATTGTTGAAGAAGAGGAGAGGGATGTAAATGAGGAACGCGCTCTTCTGCATGGGGTTCACGATGTCTGAACCGGGACTGCTCGACTTGCCATGTTCTCCCAGTCCTTTTTCAATGGCTGAGATTGGATTGTGAACTGGCTGCTCTTCACACGACACCTGGTGTTTGTCTTTTCCATGTGAGCCCTCTCCGAATGGAGATTGAGCACCTTGAAACGGCTGCGCCATGAACTGGCAGCTTTGTGCTTAGCTGATCAGTCACCTTGAACTTCTCTTCTGCTCTCGCCAAAGTGGCTTTTGGAGCAGAATGTGTTTTTGGTCGAAATGACCAGTATACTACGGCAGTGCACCACGGTGCATGACTGACTCTTAAGTCAGCCGGAGACACCTGTTCTCTGTGCCGACGCATTCGACGGACTCCCGACGAGCGCCTCAAACTCAAAACTCAAACTATCTATCTATCTAACTAACTATCTATCTATCTAACTAACTAACTATCTATCTATAGATATTGCAATATAGTATCTCTCTCTCTATAGAAGTATGCACATGTGTGTTTCATTTGTGCCACATGTTCCATTCGCTTGGTGGGATTTGGATCCCCAAGTCGCTCATGCAGAACTCGTGCCCAGTTCGATCTGTTCCCCTTCGCGATGCCGGGCATCGTTGGCGAGGTTTGTGCTGGATTCAATCCCTACAAGACTGTTCCCGTCATCATCGATGCCGGCTGCAGCGATGAAACTGGTAACTCTGCAAAGCTGAAGATTAGAGATCATGATC